AAACAACCGCCGTTGGAATGGAAAGGAGAACACTAGTAACAGAGCCGAAAATGCGTCAGAGCGAGGAAGAAAAGAATCTGATGATTGCAGGCAACGAAATCATCAGAACGGAATGCATGTTTCTATGGAGTCATCCGGTGAAAGTAACGGTTACCACGCCAGTCACCAGTTCCATCGAACACTTGTAAATTTGAAGAAATACGGTGGACCGAATGCTTCGTGGGAAATGTACAGCAATAACCGTAACATGCAAGGACCAACAAACAATTTCGAGAGACCGAAATAGTCAAAAAACGATAATGATTTACACAAACTTAGAGAGTCTGTTCAACAAAATGGATGAAATTAAGCTGACCGTGGCCTATTTGCAACCTGACTTCATAGCTCTCACAGAGACATGGTTGAATGAGCAGATAGCAGAATCAGAAGTCCCGCTAGACGGATTTCAGCTTATATGTGTGGATCGAAGTGGACGTGGGGTGGGGGAATCGCGATGTTCATACGGGACGGCATTAGCTACGTCACGGATGGTTCCTCACCAAAAGGGAACACTGGCCATGAAATCCTTAGTTGTAAATTCAAAGTACCAAACCAACTGGGCCTCCATGTTGCTCTGGTATACATAACCCCCGAACAGCGAATGATGAACTCATCACAGAGTTAACGCAGATCAGCCGTGGCAAACATGTAATGGTACTTGGAGACTCTAATTCTGCGGACATCAATGGGGAAACGATGAACTGCACGTCATCGAAAAACGCATTCGAACAAAAGCTACTCCACTTGGTTACTGACGAATTCTTTACTCAACGTGTTACAATGAACACCCGATTCCGAAGTGGGAGCAGACAAGCTGTTTGGATCTACCCATTACCAGGGATGAAAACTGTGTCCTTGGACTGACTTTGCCGCCGTCATTCCGTTCGGGCAGCATCAGCACCCAAATGTTGCATCGTTGCTGAAGGCTTCGCCAGGTGGCATGACGGAATTTCATTCGAGTTTGAAGATCTGAAGAGAAGAAGTCAGGGAACGTTAAGAAGCCTACATAAAAATGATGTCCAACTCACAGAAAAACTCCTTCTTCTTGACAAACGATCGAACGACATATGATGCTGATGATACAAACGCCACTGAAACACAAAGAAAATCCACCAGCAAATTTTGAAGGTGGCGTTTCTACAAATGTAAGTAAGATAGTCATCAGAATATTAGCATTCCTGATGCTGAAGTTCCATCAAAAAACACAGCACCAAATGGTTTCGTAAACATCCGGATGTCGAACGGTACACGTTTGAAGACGTTATAGGCGACGCTGTGCATCGCGGATGTCTGACAAAAGGCCCAGAAGGCAAATCCTGTCCAGTAAGTCCGAGATATAAAGAGCGGGGTAGACAGAACGACCTTACTTTTGGGAGGGAAAGTAGCAACAAAACTATCCTTGCAGTACACAGAATTTTACAAAAAGCGGAACGAAATAAGGTTAAATATCCGTAGGTCACGAAGGGAGTATGATACGTTAGTTACGGAGCGGGCCGTCGATAGGGCAAAAGTACTCTCGAATTACATCAGCGGCAGGTTAAGGGACAAAGAGACGGTCGCAGAGTTAAACGAAAAAGGCAATGAGAACACTACCGAAAATGACGGTAAAAAAGAACGTCTAGGCCGTATTTCGAATCTGTTTTTGCAGATGAGGTGGAGTTAGATCAGACTGACTTCCTTACAGAAACAAACGATGAAGTGATGATAAGCATCAGTTTCAAGGAAGAAGATGTGAAGAAGGAACTCCTTGCTCTTAAAGAGTGCACGTATCCGTGTCCGAATAAAATACTGGTAAAAGTTCCGAGGGAGCATGCTTACTAACTCTTAATAAGCTTTCGCATATTTTTCAGTTGCCTTTTAATGGAGGCATTCACTCCTCTGATTGTAAGCGGACGAATATATATCCTAATCACAAGGGTGGGTCCAGAACAGGCATTAAAAACCACTGGCAAATGAGCATAACATGCATTTGCTACAAAGGTATGTAAAGGATCATCAACAAAGCTACTATGCTGCTCCTCGTAGATGGGGATTTCTTTGACGGCGTCCAACATGGCTTTCGGTAAAGCAACTCTTGTTTAACAAATATCTTCTACCCATCGGAAAAGTGATCCCACTCGTTAGATGAGAACGCTGGTCGATGTCGTTTGGCGACCTAAAGAATGCTTTCGATAGCGTTCTAAAGCGACGGTTACCCTACAAGCTTCGAAAGTCTCCATAAGGGCAAAGTGCTAAGCTGAGTAGAAGACTTCTTGATCGGTCGATCGCAGTCTGTGAGCATTAGTAATTTTAACTAAGGTCCGTGTCATTTGCAAGCGGCGTAATGTCTGGACTTAGCGCCCGGACCATTTTTGTCTCTAATTCACGCCAATGTCTGCATAAATGGGCTGGACTGCAAAGGAGTCAAGTTTGCAGATGACATCCAAGTATGACAAACGAGCAAGTGCGATAATCATGAACGCACTTTGTAAGAAGGACGTAGCCGCCTGTACAAATTGCCCGATAAATTGTTGTTGAAGTTTGACCTCGAAGAATGTACCACACTGCGGTTCAAATAGAAGAAGAGAGAAGTTGGGAGTGGTCATCAATACTTCCTCGGAAGGAGGTGCTTGTCAACGGTAACTGAATAAAAAATCCTCGGAATCACCATTTTGCCATGCCTAAAGCTCTCCTCTCAATGCGACAGGGTGGTCAAAAGGAAAACCCATGTCCTTTTTACCATTAAATGAATTTTTATAAATGTAAATTAGGAGCTAGTTGAAAAGTATACGGAGCCTTTAATCGTACGCAATTGGAATATGAAAGGCAGGAGTAACGGTCCTGGTTGACAAAGGTTATAAGTTTCCGGGAAGGGTTCGAGGGAGGGCAACCAAGATCACGAATTGCCTCAAGACTTTACCATGCAAATGCAGACTTGATGTGATCAATCTATTTTCCCTGGAGAGCAAGCAGATCCGAGGAGATCTCATACAGACTTACTAGGTTGTAAGGAATCGGGAGCGTATCCTTCACGAAGATAATTTCTTTGTATTGGTCACGACAAATGGCCTGTGTGAAAAGTCTACCATGCCCTGAGGAAGCTTATCCCAATTGGTTATTCGTAGACACACGTTTTCTCAGCGAGTTTTCTGCGTCTGGGAGGGACTTGACAAAGAAGTAGTAATGGCGAACTCAACTGTGACATTTAAACAAAGACTTGGCGTGTATTTGCCTAAGACTACCGCTCAGCTGGGCAGGAGAGCTCTGTTACACCAGATCAACTCTTCGTACGTATCTACCGTAAGTGCGGATGAATACTAGTCCTTATTTACTATTTTCTTCCATAAATGAGGGTGCCCGGGTTGTAGTCCCTCACAATAAAATAATATCGCTTAGAATACAACTATTACTGACAAAATGACAGCAAAGTGTTTATTAAAACTTAAGGATTACATAGGCCGTTTACAACAGGGTCTTTAACGGCATTGCCTATTAGCCTTGAGTTTAATGAACTATACTTCTGAATTTTGTTCAGTCCAGTTTTTTGAATGAAATGTAGGTGTTGCGCCTCTGAACTCCCTACTTGTTATAAGACAGGGAAGTATACCAAAAAATGAAGGCGGAAACATCAAATAGCTACAGGAAAATTATCGAATCTGTACAGATGAACGAAATATTCCAAGCGCTGCAAACACTGACACTACTAAGCATATTGTGCAGTAGTTAGTCTATGGGTAACTGTGCTGCTAAAAAGTCGGTATGGTTTCAGCGGTCTGTAGAGGCCTGGACGAATGTCAGCATCCGTGTACAATGAAGTTGGGGCGACTGGAAGATTGTAAAAGCAGCAAAGGTTACCGAAATATAGGTAGTAATATCATAACGGTAATAAATTGTCAGCGCGGAGAGTTAGGGTGATGTCGTCCGGGGGGAATTTTGATATGTAATGGTATGCTGCGCCAGCTTGCACTTAAAAGCCTCTACGTGTGTGTAAATATAACGATATATGCAGGCAGGGCATTCTAAGCTTCAACCACTCTGTTAAATAAGATGAGCGTCCGTGTGTCCAGCCTGGCGTAAGACCCCAGGCTCTCAACCTACCCCCATGAAGATTTCACCCTGCTCCTCTATATCCCTTCACGAACGATGACTTTTGAGGATTTGAAAGTCATCTTCCCACTTCGACCTCGAGCAGTCTGTTGATGATCACGATGGACCCCTCTGTTTTCGCCATCAGCTAGTGGCTTGATCGTTCACACCTCCCCGCGCTTTTATGACCCCCGCAGCCTTATACATTCCCTCCCCGCTGGGACTCTAAGCGGATTTTGACCGACCGCGTTGGGTCCCTCCTGTCTCTCCACTTTGACGGCTGCATCTGCTGTCGACCCAAAAACGTTGGGATCGAGTCTGCAGCGAAGAGCTCCACTCGGTTCACAATACCACCTTAAAGAGAGCCGTTTTGAATTCCTATATACTCTTGTCTGCGAGACAGTCCAGTCCGATCCGCATGTCTACCTTCTCACGGGAGGACAGTTTTTTTCTCCCTAAAAACTAACTAATGCACATTCATTTTGTCTTTTAAAAATATGTGAGTTTTTCGCTGTTTGCTAGTAGTTCTTCATACAATACTGTCTATTTTATGAGCACAAAATTAGCACTGCTCATTGTCTGGCTACTTATTCTTCAGTTTACTCGAAAATCAATTTTTACTTGCTACGACAGTATCCTTAGGGGTACTTAAAAAAACAATTTCTCATCGCCAGAGATAGGAAAGCTTTTGAAAAGAATCTTTTGGACCGTGCCATATTTAATCCAAATTTTATGAGCACAAAATTAGCACTGTTCATTGTCTGGCTACTTATTCTGCAGTTTACTCGAAAATTAATTTTTACTTGCTACGACAGTATCCTTAGGGGTACTTAATAAAACAGTTTCTCATCGCCAGAGATAGGAAAGCTTTTGAAAAGAATCTTTTGAACCGTGCCATGATTAATCCAAAAATCCTTTACAGCTACATAAGACAGAGCACACGGAACAAAGATCCTGTCCCACTGCTGCGAACGGCTGAGGGTGTGGAAATCTCCGATGACAAGGATAAGGCTGAACATATCTCTCAGTTCTTCCGATCAGTCGTGACAAGTGAACCTGCTTTTTCCTCACCCGCTTATGAAGACAAAGAAACGCCTACCCTCGAAGCCGTCTTCTTCACCGAAACAATTGTTCGGAATGAGTTACTAAACCTAAAAGAATCGACCTCCCCAGGCCCTGATGCAATCGCGGCCAAGCTGCTGAAGGAGTTAGCTCCCGAAATGTCCAAGCCGTTAGCCTTGATCTTTCAAACGTCATTCGTTACTGGATGCCTGCCCTCTGACTGGAAGTCCGCTACCATCACTCCGCTTTTTAAGGGTGGAAGTCGTGCATCTGCGAATAACTACAGGCCAGTGAGTCTTACCTCCATCTGTTGCAAAATCATGGAGAAGCTCATTAAGAAGGCCTTGGTGCAGTTCCTCGAGCAGCACCATCTCCTTTCCGATGCCCAACACGGCTTTCGACGTGGTAGGTCCTGCCTCACGCATCTGCTCTTTACGCTTGAACGCTGGACCAAAGCACGTGATGAAGGCAATGTGGTGCACGCCATCTACATCGACTTCAAAAAGGCTTTCGACAGCGTTCCTCACCAACGTCTCTTGTACAAACTGCGCAACGCTGGAATTCGTGGACGGCTTCTTGTATGGATCCAGAGCTTTTTGGCTGGACGGTCCCAAAGAGTGCAAGTCGGGCGTCAACAGTTCTCAGATGTAAGCGTGGCGAGTGGCGTCCCACAGGGCTCAGTCTTAGGTCCCACGTTATTCCTCGTTTTCATAAATGACTGCGTCAAGGACCTAGACTGTGATGCCATCCTGTTTGCCGCCGACATAAAATTGCGGAAAGTTATTCACAATGCGGCAGACGCAGACCACCTGCAAGCAAACTTGAACAGGCTCGAAGACTGGTCGAAGCGCTGGCTTATGCCCTTCAATATAAGCAAGTGTAACTTTCTTCAACTCGGCGGCTTCAGAGCCCCCAGCCCCAGGACCTACTTTCTACACGGCACACCACTGCAACAGGTTGACAGTCAGAAGGACCTGGGTGTATGGATTACATCTTCACTCAAACCAACACTGAACTGCGCGAAGGCGGCTAAATCGGCTACGGCCACATTGCAACTCATTAGGCGAGCATTTATGGGATTTGACCCTGACTGCTTTTCCAAAATATTTGGCACCTTCGTGCGACCTCATCTAGAATACGCCATACAGGCGTGGAGACCCTGGACTGCCAAGGATTATACCGTCTTGGAGAAGGTCCAGAGACCAGCGACCAAAATGACACAAGGTCTGGGAGCACTGCCCTATGAAACCAAACTGTCAATCCTCAACCTGTTTCCCCTTTCCTACAGGCAATTACGTGGTGACCTTATACTAACATTTCGCCTCATCAACGGCCTAGACTGTTGTTTAGATCCCACTGATTATTTCACCCAAGCTAACACGCCCACTTTGCGCGGTCATCCCCTAAAACTAAGCGCAGGGAAATCAAGAATCAATGGACGGAAGTTCTTTTTCAGTAACAGAGTGGTTGCAGCGTGGAATGCCCTGCCTACCGATGTTGTAACCTCCCCCTGTGTGAATTCCTTCAAGTGTAGACTTGACATGCATCAAGCTTCCCAATTACCACTGTCACATGCACTCACATAACCGGGTACCATATTATACGTGTTTATACTACTTGTAATTAGTAAGTAACCGTTAATAATTACTCTATGTCGACTAGCTGACAGCTGCCCGCGAGTAAGTACAAAATCCCTTTTTCACCTTCCCATTTATCCATGTTTTTCTCCGTCGACTTGTAACCAATAGGGAGTTCAAAGGCGCTTGCCTATATTTCCCTTAATAAACTGATACTGATACTTTAACACGTAGTTTGAGCGAATGAGGTCGTAGGCTCGTTATGGTCACTAATTTGACGAGGTCTCCGAGAAAAAGACAAATTTCCGACCGCGCATGATGCGGAATGGTCGCAGTAGGTCGCCTCTTAATTGTCTGTAACTCAGCGGAAAAAGACCGAGGTTGGGTAGTCATGTTTCGTATAATAGTGAGTCCGCTCCACTAACGAGCTTAGATGTAGGTTTCTGAGCTTTCTGGAGCATTTTGAGGTCTTTAACGGTTCAGGGTTTCCACGTTTTAAAAACAAACCCCAACTGTGGCCACAAAAACGTCCGAAAGACTTTGGCAAAGCAGTCTTTAGCGAAGACAGAGAAAGCCCGCTTGACAAGGTACAGGTCTTACATCGCGGGCTTATCTAGCTTTAGGCAGTGCAACGACGACTTAGGTGAAGCCGTGATCCAAACACTCGTGTTTTATGGACGTCCATTTCCCGTAATGACGTGTCATTTAGGTGGCAAACCCTTCCTTCGGAGATCAACTGCGCCGACTCTCAAAATGTTGTCCTTAGTCACAGTAAGCTGCAAAAGCCAGTCCTGCGATTATTTCTCGAGCCCGTCCAGGTCTCACTGCAAAAGCTCTTCGTAAAATTCCTTTTGGATGACGCTCAAAGACGAGTATACGTCTTTATCAGCGAACACGGCGACATCACAATCCAGTTCAGAAAGCAGTCTTTGACTGTTATAGACTTGCAGACACCCTAAAGCCTTTTACACAATGTTGTAAGGCGGCCAAGGCCGCAACCTCGATGCTATGCGCCATTAAGTGGTCATTCACAGTTCTCGATGAAGAATGTTTAACGAAGTCTTCGGCACGTTTGTAGGGTCGAATCTTGAACATGCCATCCAGGCATGGGGACCTTGAACGTAGCAGGACTACAATTTACTCGAAAGTATGCAGGGACGAGCCACGAAATTAGTAAGAATTCAAAGCGCGTTGCCATACCGGATCCGCTTAAATAACCATAATCACTGTCCTTTGATTTAAAGGCAGTTGGGCGGAGACTTGATATAAACCTTCCGTATCGTGCGTGGCTCGGACTACGCTCCTCGGTAAGACGAGTTTTTCCAACTTGTCATTAAAAATAACCTCCGGGAATATCCCTTCAAACTACGCGTGCCCCAAGGAAGACTGGATGTGAGAACCCTGCCAACACCAGCCCCTCCTAGCCCGCCTAGCCCCATCAAAAATGGCGGGGCTAGGCGGGGCTGTGGAAGGGGCTTTGGCGGGGCATTCAACACGACAGCCCCGCCTGGCCCCACCAGCGAAATAAAATTCACGGGTACGCGGGCACAGCAGAGGATCAAGTTTATTAACGTAAAATGGCTATTTGGTGAGGGGACCAACTAGCCTTTGGGCCTGGTCAACCTATAATTAACCCTGCCAGCACCAGCTTCGCGTAACCCCCTTAAGTACGGCGGGGCTAGAGGGGGCTATGAAGGGATTAGGAGGGCTGTAGAGGGGGCCGTGGCGGGGAATTCAACACAACAGCCCCGCCTGGTCCCACCGACTAAAAATGTGCAGGGGACGCCAGATTTCAGCCCACTTTTGGCGCTCCTTTAAAATATCGACCTGTATGATGAGTCCCCTGAGGCACACACACATATAATACCTGCTGGCAGAAGTTTCAGAGCTCAGAATAGGCATTTCTCGTTCAGGGGATTGATTGACAACTGCTGTCGACGTTGAGGGAACCTCAGACTCAGGCTCTTCAGTGGTCCCATAATATGCCTTCATCTGGTGGTACGGTGAGAGCCACCGTAATTACGCTTCATAATTGTTTTGGGTGTTCGGTAAAAAACGATTTAAAAAATTGTATAGGTGGACTATGAACACCAATGCTAACTAGTATATACATGAACATACAAGACGATTACTTGAATTGGTTTGTGATTAAATACCCAAAAAATTAGCATAACATACATAAATTAAGTAAGACAGTTATTAAGAGCACGAAAACAGCATTGGTTGACACACGATATTATCCGCGACCCGTGGGCGTAAACGAATGCTTTTTCTATGATTTATATGCCCCTTTTGACAAATTAGCTCCTTTTAATGCCAAAGAAGGTACAATGAGTGGTTCTTTTGAAACATAACTTTCGATGCAAATACGCTTCAAAATGTTTCAATCCAGAGGGGGCTCTGGCCCCGCCCAGCCCCTTCCCAGCCCCTTCCCAGCCCCGCCTATGAAGGGGCCATGTGCTGACAGGGAAAGTATCATTCTCTCCAAACGTGTCGTGGAACCGTGGAATAACCTGCCCGAGGTCACTGTAATATCGGGATCTGTGGAGGCACTCCAACATCGACTTGACAGACATATGCTGCAGCAAAAAGCGGACGGTGTGATTGTGAAACCATTAAACCAGTGAAAAACGTGAATCAAGGTGTTCATTCACTTGACGCTGTAATTTTTCTACATTGTTACAAGATCGCTTAATTAACCTTTGCTTTCATGTTCTCTCAACCGCCCTGAGTGCTCTATAGAGCATACATTTGAATGCGAAGTCAAGAACTCGTGGTTAGGTGAGATGGTAAAACGTCATAACAGGAGCTTAAATTCAAAATCAGCCCTGGAGAGCCCCTCGGGGCAGTTAGTCGACAGCAAAAAATTGAATTGATAATTTTATTTAATGCCAGTTTACAGGCATCGTCAAGGGAAGTGTTAAACACAAATCCGACCAGCAGTGAAAAAAACTCCTGAGGTAAAGAAATAAGAATATAGTTGATGGTGGTTTTTATGGTTTGGAGGGTTCAGGAGAAAAAACTGCTGGCGGCATACATTCGACCGTCAAGAAGGGTGGACGGGGGGTTGCACGGTATCGGAGATTATCGGACGTCAATTCCTTTCATGAAGTTGGGGATAGTCAAAGTAGAGGCGTTGAGGGGCCGTTGTCGTTGTTGGCCAACGAAATTGTCCATGGGGAGACAGGCAATAGTGTTCAGAGACCACAAACGCCATCGCTACGGTAGAGTCGATCAGTGAATTCAGCACCCAAAATTTGTGGTAGCTTTTCTGAATGCAAAAATCGAGTAATTGTTCTCTTAAATAAAGGTTAATTTTGCAGATTTTTCACACTCATGGGTAGTTTATTCCAAATAGCAATTGCATTTACAGAAAAGAGCCGACGATATTTAACAGTACGTGCCAGAGGAAGAAATAAAAAAACCTCACGGTGACTGTTACGTCGTACGACGTACCCACGTGGGTGGACATGGTGTCTTAAGGACGTGAGTGGATTAAATGTGTGATTATATAAGAGTTTAAATAGCAAAAATAGTCCCTTTTGTAATCTACGAAACCATAAAGGATCAAGGCCCGTAAGCCGGCAACGTTCTTGGTAAGACAAATATCGGTGTTCCGGGGTTAAAACTCTCCTGGTAAAAAAGTGTTGAACGGATTCTATTTTCTTCCGCTCAGTAGCACGCATGAGGCTAAATAAAAATGAACCGTATTCCAGACCAGGTCTAAAGTACATGTTGTATAGGCGCATTCTAATGTCCCTAGTTTTGAAGTTTCGGGGTATAAACCCGGTCGTTCTACGTGCTTTGGAGACTATCAACGCACAGTGCTCCGAGAGATTGAGACTCTTGGAGTATGGTACGCCCAGATCCTTAATAACCCCAGGCACATTTATGGTGTGACCTTCAATACTTAGTTGAGGTTGGCGGTCGTCGCCAACCACCATGACTGAACACTTATGCCAGGAAAGAGAAAGGCACCATGTGCGGCACCACTGGGCGAAAGCATGTACATCGCTCTTTAGGAGCTCAAGCACGATGTCATGATCTGCCGGCTTATATCGATATGCAACTTTAAGATCATCGGCATACATGAAAGGCTTACCATTCTGGAATAAATCGGGCACATCATTAACGAAAAGGCAAAATAAAAGCGGGCCTAGTACACTACCCTGAATGACTCCACTCCTCACACTTGTGGGGTTGGAGATAGTAGTGGAAATCTTAACTCGTTGTGTACGAGTGCCCAGGTAAGAGGTTATAAAATGTAAAAGTTTGCCACCTATTCCGAAAGAGGACAGTTTCAAGAGAAGAAGAGCATGGTCAACACGATAAAAGCCTTAATGAAATCGAAATATACTGTGTAAAGTGCAAAAGCATTGTCCCTAGCTTGGCGAACATAGTCAAAGAATCCATGCGAGAACTCCGTAAATTGTCCTCGCATTTATAAAGAGAATTTCCAAGAGAGAAAAAATAAAGAGTTCGCGGACCGCTAACAGCGCGGGGTTGTTCAGAGCTTGCCTAACTCGAACATACTCAACTTTAAAGGCCGTTTCTTAGAAGATCTTACTTCTGTTCATGGCGTATAAAACCAGTTACTCCAGCCAGACGCGGAAATATGTGTCGTGAAGGCATTGGGGGGTCGGAAAAAGGATCGAAGATGGGACAGCAGCATTACCAGATTGTCCGCTCAGAATTACGCTGGAGAACAAAGACCAATCTGAAGAAAATGAAGTGCTCACCGGATCGAAAGACTTGTTCGGCTGACGTTTCGAAGAGCTGGGGCGGCTCTCCATTATCAAAGCGTCTAGTGAAAAATCGATCAGAATTTTGAATAAACAGCCGGATTAGTTGGCCTTGGGCTGATAGATTTTCTTCTTCTTTCGCCACCTTGGCCTACTGGCCGTCACCTGTGAGTGTTGGTGGCCTCCTGTGTTGTGTGTCGTCACCTCAATTGGGGTTAGTTGCGTTTACGTCCCCTTTTGGGTGAATTGGTCGACAGGCCGTGTTTGCTCGGTAGTTTTAGGCTCCGTATAACTGTCTTGTCTTCGTCACGGCGTATGTAGTGACGTAGGACTTTATAGGCCGAAGGAAGGTCTAGATGCCTGTTGATGGAGTTGGCATCTGAGTACCAAGCCTCAAGTGTGAGATGCTCTGTCCTTGAGGTGCCCCTGCCTAAGACGGCTGCTCCTTGAAAATCAAAACTGTGACCATTTTCCCGATGTGAGCCGCAAGCTGTGAGTTTGGGTCTAGTCTCTGAGTTGCCAGTTTTTGATCATGTAGGCGGGTCTGCAATTTCCGTCCGGTTTCCCCAACGTCAGCCGAACAAGTCTTTCGATCCGGTGAGCACTTCATTTTCTTCAGATTATCAGCCCGCATCTCTTACATTTGCTATCCGGAGAACAAATAGCAAATCGAGTTTATGCATTCCAAGAAAGCAACCGCACAAACTCGTATGAACAGGTTTTTTTTTCAACTGGACTATTTTCTAGAGGGACGGCTGAGATGCCGGAAATTTGTTTGAAATTAAAATCAAAAATTCAGGGTGGCGAACACAATTGGTTATAGATCTGTGCAATGATTTTACCGTACTAACAACACAGGTATTAGCTAAAAGCCCAGACACGCGTGTTTCGCCGATCTTATGCCGCTGCCCTACGCAGCTGCGAGGTTATCTTCAAGGGAGAAGTAGTTCAGATGAATATGCCGTTTCATTTGGACCAGCCAGTAATACTAAGAACGAAAGCAGCTACTCAGCCAACGCAGACCCCATCGTTGAACCATCCGCTCGAAGCGACAGTATAACTAAGCCCTTAACGCCCAACGATCTGGCCAGAGTAACGGGCTTTGGTGAAACCCATCAGAGGACAGAACAGACCAGTGAATGGAACGTCCGAAGCTACCCACTAATGCCCACAACAGTGACAAAAGCAGACGGAAATCTGACTGGCACAAAATTGAGGTGCTTGTGCACAAATGCCCAGAGCACAATATCGAAACTTGACCAACTAAAACTTCACCTAATCGAACTGCCTCCGAATGTTATAGGACTGGCCGAAACCTTTCTGTCCGAGAATATTAGTGATAGCAGTGTAGTCTTGATTGAAGTGGAAGAAGAAGAAGAAGAAGAGGAAGAAGAAGAAGAAGAAGAAGAAGAAGAAGAAGAGGAAGAAGAGGAAGAAGAAGAAGAAGAATAGTCGATACAAGCAAAGATGCGAGTTCCAGGAACTAGTCGATCAGAATAAGAAGCGATCGCTGGAACAAGGGCTTTATTCGCCTGACGTTTGGGGTTCTCACTTGAACCCATCATCAGAGACAGTGGCAGAAAAGGGTGACTCGTGCACAGGAAGTTGCAGTATTTATAGGATGCAGTCGCTATGCTACCGCATACCTATAGTAATAAACCGCGCTCACCTTCATCAAGGATTGTTGACCGCTGGTGCGCTAATGGCCTGATGACCGGCATGCAGGTTGTTAATTGACGAAATTTCATCACCTCTGTTGGATGCTGGCGTGATGATTGCTTGGCCATCTGGCTCACCGGCTTGCATGCTCCCCGAGTGGTTAAGTAATTTGGCCAGCGTATGCCTCAGCACGGAATATGGAGTGGGGATGTCGTTGCACTCGTTGATAGACTGAGGTTTCGTGAACCATGACTCAAGCAACTCTCGGCTCACGCGATTATCCCCTCTTGCAAGAATTTCGGTCTCATCGAACTTGAATGTGTGGCCGGGTCTCGTCTAGTGGGCCGCGTCCTGAGAGTTGGCGTCATTTCTCCGTACCGCTGCCGCGTGTTTGGCAATTCGCGTTCGAAGCAGTCTTCCAGTTTTTCCAACGTAGTTTCTTAGTCCGCAATTGCACCAGATCCGGTAAACGACTTTAGATGTTTCTTGCCGTGGCAGTGGGTCTTTTGGTCTCATCACCTGACGCCTCATGGCGGCCTCCGGTCTGTGTGCAACTCCAACCCCAAGTGGCGCAAGTAGGCAACTAACGGCCTTGGAGACGGTCTTAATTTAAGGGTTTGCACGCCAGAATTTGGGGTTGGCACGGTTTGTCTTAGCTGGATTCTACATATATCGAAAGAAACACCGCCAGGACAGTGTCGTAATTGTTTATGTGAAAGAAGTCCTGGTGGTGTTAAAAAAACCACTAAGTTTGCTTGCAGCGCGGAAGCTATTTAGTTGACCCTCGAGATGATGTTTTCCTCCCCATACCCTTTCGCCATTTGTTGAGCAGACCCTTTTGTCGATTCTATCTTCAGAATGATGTTCCCGTTCTGCCCTCGATTAGTGATATTTCTGAGCGGGCTAAGAGATTGTACGAAGAAAAGCGGCTAGCCGAAGAGATACACTTCTCCAAAAACCGCTTGTTAAACGTCGCGAAACTTTTCTCTCGAAAATTAAAAGATCGTTTGGAAACGTAGCTCCCCATCCTCCGAGACACTCTTGGAAATCTTATAGCTGACGCCGAGTTGAGCGCTGATAGTTTCAATGATTTCTTGTCTGAAACATTTTTTAAAAACTCGACCGCCCCGCTTCCGACCTTCCAGATTTGAACCGAGGCCGTTCTCGAAACTATAACTTCCACCCTGTGAGATCTGACCGTCGCGATTCAGCGTTTTGGTCATTCTTATTGTCCGGGGACTGACAGTGTCCCAATAACCATTCTAAAAGCGGATACAAATGAAATATTCCGTCAATCCTGTGCTCTTGGAAGTGAAACCCATCTTACTTTGTAGAAGGAATCACACATTTTGCCTATTCCCAAGCATAGCCAATCTATGTCATTTGATTACTTTCGGCCAATAAACACCCTCCTCGCAGTTCCGAAAACCTTAGAAATAGTGATCAACGATAAGACGATGTGTCACTCAACAGATAATAACCTACTTAGCGTTGCACAGCATGGATTCCTTAAAGCCCGGTTTCGTGGCATCTGTCAGCTTCCATTTTTTGCCCGTGTTCTCAAATCTAGAGACAATGATTTTGCACTTTACACAGTATATTTCGATTTCACTAAGGCTTTTGATCGTGTTGACCATGCTCTTCTTCTCTTGAAACTGTCCTCTTTCGGAATAAGTGGGAAACTTTTGAATTTTATATCCCCTTACACGGGCGCTTGTTCACAACGAGTGAAGATTTCAATGCTATCTCCAACTCCACATGTGTGAGGAGTGGAGTCATTCAGGGTATTATACTCGGCCCGCTATAATTTGCCTTTTTGTTAACGATATACCAGATTTATTTCAGAACAGTAAGCCCTTCATGTATGCGGATGATCTGAAAGTTGCATAAAGGTATAAGCCGACAGGTCGTGGCATCGTGCTTGAGCTCCTAAAGAGCGATCTACAGGCCTTTGCCCAGTGGTGCCGCACATGGTGCCTTTCTCTTTCTTGGCATAAATGTTCAGTCATGATAATTGGTGATGACCACCAACCTCAAGTAAGTATTGGCGGTCACGAAATAAATGTGCCTGAGGTTATTAAGAATCTGGGTGTATCATACTTCGGAGCATTGCGCCCTTATAGTCTCCGAAGCACGTAAAACAACCGGGCTTGTCCTCCGAAACCTTGAACCCAGCGATATTAGAATGCGCCTGTATCACATGTATGTTAGGCCTGTTCGTTTTCATTTAGCCGCATACGTGTTGCTGAGCGGAAGAAAGTGGAATGCGTCCAACATTTTTTTACCAGACGAGTTTTAACCCCCGCACACCGGAATTTTTCTTACCAAGAACGTTGCCGGCTTACAGGCCTTCACCCTTGGTGGTTTCTTAGATTACGAAAGGGACTATTTCTTCTATTTAACCTTTTATATAATCGTACTTTTAACCCGCTTACTACTTAAAAACATCCTGTCCACTCCCGACATGACAGTCACCGTGAGGTCTTTTTATTTCCTTCTCTGGCACGTACCTTTAAATATCGTCGGTTCTTTTCTGTGAACGTCATTGCTATTTGGAATAAATTATCTAGGAGTGTAAAACTTCTGTGAGATTATCCTTTGTTTAAGAGAAATATTACTCGTTTTTTGGACGGTGAATCCGCCGATCAAATATACCTTAGCATTGGCGTTCATGGTCTCTGATCCCCATGGCCGGTCCCACCAGGGACAATTTATTAGCCAACATCGACAACTATTCTCCAGTGCTGCAGTTTGCTTCAGTCACAACTTCATGAAAATAATTGGCGATTAATAATATCCGATGCGGTTCTACCCTCCCCTTTCTTGAATGCTGCCATTTAATGGGCAGCAGTTTTTTTATCCTGAACCCCCCAAACTATACAGAAACACCATCCTCTTTATCTAATTATCGGGAATTTTTTCACTGCTGGCCGGATTTATGCTTACTCTTTCCCTGACAATGCCTGTAAACTGGCATTTACTACTGCAACAACAACAACAACAACTACTACTACTACCACTAATACTATTATTATTATTATTAAGATCACTGGTTCCTCTTAACCCGTTTGCCTTACTATCTACTGAACGCCTAGGAGAGACAAAACTGTCGACACTCGTTTACTGGAGCAACTGAGGAAATTTTCCAGTTAACCTAATATCATGATCATCGGCGACTTCAACGTACTAGGAATTTACTGAAGCACACTTCAAGCGACATGCCCGAAATCGACCTTCGCTTATTGTTTGCTGCCCAAAACGTTGAAGGCGCTCCTCATACAACATGTAATGTTTCGAACGAGAACGCGCAAAGGATAAGGAGCTATCTGCCCGGATTTGGTTTTCACGGAAACTTCAGAAAGCATAGACAAGGTAATCTCCATGCCGCCCCTCTGCCGAAGTAATCATGTGGTGCTCATTTGGGGTTATTCGTTATTCTCCGTTTTGCATACTTTTGACCAGAAGAAGACGTAGCATTTGGCGAGGTGACTCCAATCAGATAAACACAAAGTTATCCAGTCCCTCCTTTGGCTTATTGGTTACGGGTAATGCCAACGATGACCACTTTTTCAAGAATGTCCTTCTACGGCTCATCAACAACCACTTACCACTGACCAGTGTAAGACAGAACAAGCGGACTGGGTGGCTAAATAGCAACCTAGAGAAAGAAATTACCAGAAAGCACAAATTATGGAGAAAGTATTGCGTCACTGGGCGAGTCGACTATTTCAACAACTACAGGACATAGAGAAACAAACTGAGAAGTATGAGTGCAAAAACGTGCCGGGAATTGGAAAAGAACGTGCTAGAAAAAACAATACAGATCCCGGGATTACTCTACAGCTACCTGCAAAGAAGTACAAGGAACAGATATCAATTTCCCTTAATAAGACCTAACGATGGCGATGCCATCGCTGATAACAGGGAAGAAGTTGCATATTTTTCACAGTTTTTTCAATTAGTCTTCACAAACGAGGCAAATTTCTTTCCTCCCTCCACAGAAAAACTGCAGACTCCAAGCATAAGTGATATGATGTTTTCACAAAGTATTATCCAAAGTGAATTGGAGGCACTGCACTAGTCGAAGTCCCCAGGACCAAACGGGATTCCACTCACGTCCCTCGAAGGGCTTGCCAGTGAGCGTCCTATACCTCTGTCGATGGTCTTTCAGGCTTCATTTGACACTGAACAACATTTCCTATCGACCGGAAACTGACGCACATAACACCACTATACAAAGACGATAGCAGGGCGTCTACGACAAATCACGGGCCCTCAAGCTTGACTTGCGCTCTCAGCAAGGTTGTAGGGAGGATCATGAAGAGCGAATTGGTGCAATTCCTGGAAGTTCACAACTTACTACAGAACTGTCAAGACGGGCTCCTGAAGGGAAGATCCTAAATGAATTTGTCGCAATCTCTCCAGAGCTTGATCCACACAACTTTTATTAACTTCTAGAAGGCGTTCGACACTGTGCCACACCAGAGAATGCTAAACAAGCTGGGAAAAATAGGGATCAGAGGTAACTTCCCCAAATGGGCCGAAAATTTCCTTGTGGGTCGTCACCAGTTTGTGTGCATCGGTCAAGGGAAATCTGTTCCTGTTGTGGTCGGGAGTGGTTTTCCTTAGGGTTCAGTACCAGGACCCATTTTTTCCTGATATTCTTGTAGCCGGCTACAAGTCTTAACAGCGTCATAAAACAGCTCAGTCGGCTATCGCAGACTCCCTAAATTTGCTTTCATGTGCGTTTACAGGTTTCGCATGTGTGGAGCACACCATGCATCCGCCGTCTT